AGTTCAGCTTATAGATCCCATGGCGAGTAATTTGTTTAATTTAGGGGATGGGAATGATTTGCCAACCAATGCAGCAATTTGAACCAGCCCACTCTGGAGCCAGATACCAAGAAAGGAAGCAAGAGAAGGGCAGCAGGAATCACCATTTTTGGCTGCAACCTACGGTTAATCCGAATTAGATGCACGGTGAGATTTCACAAATGGTGAAACAAGAACAGGACCCTGAGGTCTCCCCAGTTCCCTGCCTAGCACTGTAAAATATAACAGCATTGCAGTGATGAAATCCTGTACTTAAGGACATTATTAAACCCTAAATCAGCTTTAATAATCAGAGAGCAAGAAGCTCATCCCCACACCCCATCTTCTCATCACACCCTGGGGAGGTTTCCTGCAGACACCGTCTCGCTTTCAAGCAGGTGAAGCAGAAGAGCATCTTCACTTCCATGTGGGACAAGGAGGGACACGGAGCTCAGTGCACACAGGAGGAGGAGCACTAGAGGGGCAGAGCAGGGACTGCAACCTCAGGTGCTCTTTGCTCTCACCGATTTTCCACCAGCTGACCTCAGAATGTGGCTGGCTCTCTCCAAAGCCAAGGAGATTCTGGGATCTGTTAGCCTGATCCTAACAGATCTGTTCTGAGGCCGTGTTCATGTTATCGCCCTCCTCCTCACCTCCAGATGTCTAAATCTGCCTGTAGGAAATAGATTTATGCAAGTGCAAAAGATCAAGTGTTCATTACTCCAAAATAGTGAAGTAAGGCCTGTTTTTCTTCTACACGATGCACATTACTGTGTAAAATCTTAATGCTAAACTGTATCAGCTCAGTTGCACAGGTTTAATTTAGCAGAGGATACAAGTCTTAAAGGGCAGGTAAGAAAAGCAGCGCTGACCTAGCTGGAAGCGCATGGCTGTGCCATGACGGAGAAGAAAACTGCACCCGTCGCTGCTGGAGTTTCACAGCTTGTTTCACACGACAAAAACAATTCAAGGGGAAGAGGGATGAGGAAGAACCGCGCTGCAGAGTCGGAAGTGCTCCTGTTCCCCAGGGAAGCCACACACAACCGAGCAGCCGAATCAGGCGGGATCTAGAGGTCACCCGTTTCCCTCTCCAGCAGCGGAAATGGTGCCAGAGGACCCTTTTAACCAGGAGGGCAGCCCAGCACTCGGGACACGTTGATCGCTCCCAGCCAGGGACAAAGACCCTAAAGACAGCGCAGAGCCCAGACTTTCCATGGAAATGGAGCAGCGGGAACAGAAGCCTCTCTGCCTCACGCACTGCTCACGGCGGAGGACTCCCTGTCTGAGCGGCTCCGGACAATAATGTCCCTGTTTTCCGCAGGGTTGGGATAGTGGAGAAGCGGAAACCAGTCACATCCCCTTTGTGCGGGGCATTAGGTCTGTTGTCAGCCTTCACACCCAGGGAACTCAGAAACCCGACCCAGCACCGAGGCCGGTTCCTCCCGCAGGGCTTCCCCCAGTGCCTGCCCTGGACGCTGAAGCCCACGGGGAACCTCAAACTAAGTGTTCAGTCACTTGAGACCAACTACCAAGGGTGGGAATCACCCCAAAAGTGACACCCTGGGCAGGCACAGACACCTGCTGGACGCTGGCAGAGGTGACAGATGGGGACACATGCACCCCTTGTCCTGCTCCCATGAAAAACCAGAGCTAAAGTGCCCTCTTTTAAGTAAATTCAGAGATTAGACCCTGAAGAGAAGGTGGAAACAATCTGCTAAAGCAGAGGAAAACAACTTCCAAAATAAAGCCTCTTGTGTCACCGAATCTTTGTGCCCGGAGTTTTAAGGCAGGCTGACGAGTCTTCTCCAATGGCAAGCTCCTTCTCAGCATATATTCTGATTAAACAGCGAAAATAACTTTTTTTTTTGTAAAACATCCTTTACCAGCTGCAGTGAATGCTGTTTTGTGCTTGATTGGAAAACTCAGCCAATTTTTTTTAAGTCTTTAACAAAAAAAAAAAAAAAAGGCAGTTTCCCAAAGCAAGACCATTTCTGCTTGGAGTCACCAAAGTCCTTTAAAAAAAAAAAAAAGGCAAAAAAGTAAAACGCAAAGCCTAGCAAAGATTTCATAGAACATTTGCAAACAACTCATTTCAGTGAAAAGAAGGTTTCTGAGGCTGTGAAAACCTTTCTAATCTTTTGAAACCTATTGCAACATTCTGCTAGCTCCAGAGCTAAGGCGACTACATCTACGGAAGTTAAATTAATCTTTTTTACCTACCCAGAACAAAATAGCAACCACACACAGTTAAGCGAACCGAAAAGCAAGGATGGGAATTTGCTTTAAAACTGCGGGTCGCTTCTCGTTTTTATTCAAAGGCAAAACTGAGAATTTGGTTCTTCAAGGCTGTAAAGGCATCAAAAGTCACCAGAAAGCAGCGTGCGGCACCAGCCGAAGGACACCAAACTCCCAAGGCGAGATTTCTTCTCGCCCACTTATCTCGCCCCACAAATGCACGTGCAGAGCTTCTTCCTGCGCGCGCCGCAGACCCCGGTGCCGGCCGCAGGCGTCTCCTGGACGCGGCGACACCACAAACCCCAGAGGGGCTGGACGTCCCCGCTGAAGACCGTGAACCGAAGCCGCGTGTGCGGGCGGTGCCGTCCGGCACGTGGGCCCAGATCCCCCGCGGACGGACGTGTCCCTCTGCAGGGCCCGGTCTAAC